AAGGGGTTTGATGTCGATTTTTTTCGAAAAATATCAAATTACTCAAAATACGTCGAATTTTACCTCATTTTCGTCTCTACTGAGCGAGGAATGTATCAAATTCTTTGAAAAATACGCTGGCAACTTCAAACTCGGAAAAATCCACATTTTTGCTTCATTTTAAACTTTTTAGCGGTCACGATATTTAAACCACCGTATTTTTGTTCCTAAAGACTCGAACGCCTTAAATATTCATATCGGAGAGCTTCTAACCTCGGAAGCAATCCATTGAGCTCAAAAAACTCGCATGAAAAAATTTTGACTTTTGACCGAAATTTTCAAGGGGTCGATTGTTTTCGAAAACTATCAAATCACTGAAAGAGCATCGATTTTTACCTTATTTTCATCTCTACTGAACGAGGAATGCAACAAACTCTTTGAAAAACACGCTGGCAACTTCAGATCCGGAAAAATCCGCATTTTTGGTTCATTTTAAACGTTTCCTTAGCGGTCACGATCTTTAAGCTACGATATTAGAACTCAAATGTCTTAAATATCCATATAGAAAAGGCCCTAAATAATCAGTCGAGCTGAAAAAACACCAAAAATTTGCATATGAAATTTTGAATTTCGATTAAAAATTCACTAAAGAGTAATTTTATTTTGCAAATATAAATGTTTCATTTTTATAATTGGGAAACAAGAACTGCAATAATAATCTCGTTAAAAAAAACGATGGAATCAGATCCAAGAAAATCGACATTTTTATGGTCACGATCTTTAACGGCGGATAAGTTTAGGAACTGCATATTTTACTTCAAAATGAAAAAAATATATTCTTCTTTTGGAGATTAATGCTATTTCGAAATCGAAGCTTTTAAAGACATAAATTTAGAAGAATATGTGTCTAATTTTTGGGTGTTTTTTTTTCAAAATTAAGATGTATTTGATTGCATTTTCGAAAAGGTTCCTTGCGTTCAAACAATGCCAAACGTAGGAAAACTTGCCGTATCGTTCTAGCGAAAAAAACAACAGTTTTGGAGATTTTCGATAGAATGCAAATAAACTAACAAAAATTATTTTCTTCAAAGAAAATGCATTATTTACTGCTATATATACTTATATACTGATTAATTCACTTTATTAGCGTTATTAATACGGTCCTTTTTTCAACAGCCCGCACTTCATCCAGGATCTATAATTATTTTCGTATTATGCCCACTGAAGAAACATCATTTCGATCCGAGCTTAGCCATACGGTTTTATTGCGCAGTGGACCAAGTTTCCATAAACAATCGCTCATTATACACGGAACTCGAGAAAAAAATTAGATAACATTGATTGGCGTTCATTTGCTGGGCTGATTAACGCATATGCAAAATCCGCTTCATTGATTGGTGATTAATATGGGTAACTAATTGTTGATTCGATTGGCCGATGATAAATGTTAGCAAGAAAAACTCCATTGCGAAACTCGATTCAAAGCTGTGCTTTTTATATTAGCGAATTATTTAATCGCAGCTGTTTACTGTGCGATCAGTGTTGTTTTGCGGATTCACTCCAACTAAATTCTCCTTAAAGTTTGGCAAAAAATTGTGAAATGAGCAAGACAACAAAACAATGTTGAATAATTGCGTTCCACTTTTACAAAAATATCCATTGGAGCAAATGGCAAACTGCATGACCACACGAGCAAAAAAAAATAATTACCATACCGGCCGACAATCAATTTGCTCTTTTCAAACAAACGATTATGGTCGATGGCGTTGAATTAATTGAAAATCGAAGATTTTGATTTATACGTCAATCTAAAAGTAAAATCTATTCGCGTAACGGGTAAAATTAATAAACGGTTAGTAATTACAATCGATAATATAATGCTGAAACCAATTATATTCGCACAGTGTTGGACAATGAATGGGGCCCGCGGTTGATTTTGCTGATTTATCGCACTTAATTAATAGCACAGTCAAACAAAAATTACCCGAAAAAAATCAACGAATGTAAAATGTTTGGTATTTGTTGGCAAACTGCAATTGAAATCATTAGCACATGGCTTGAACAAGCCAAGAAATCAAGCCATTAATGGAGGTCGGCCAACATTTGCCCAACAGATTGTGATACTGAAACCGAATTAATAAAGCTGTGAAAAATCGCTACTGCAATTAGCGCAAAAATGGCTCCAGCAGATCAAACGAGGATGTAATATCGCAATGTCGGATCGTAATTACCTGATAGTCAAAACAGCTACATAAATGATTGCAGGGCTTAAGATAATAGTTGTTTTATATTGTGCATTAAAAGCTCGTTTTTTTACTCGAATTTGCGTCATTTACATTATTTTATTGCTTATTCTTACGCAGCTTCAGCCAAAGCAATCCACCACTTTTTTTATAGTCATCAACTTTAGAAAACACCCTGTATTTATCAGACTGTCAAAGCTTTTACCGCGGGTCAAATCGCATTTAGAAATGCTTTTCGGGCTTTGAAGCCGTGGTTCATAGGAATTTCTTCCAGACGTTTCGTCCACAACTGCGGTGGACATTATCAAAAGCCTCAGTGGGCCGATGATTTCTGAAAAATCTGCGTTTGTTTTTAAAAGATATTAATCTTTATCAGACTATGAAGGCTTTCACGGCCGGTCAGATTACATTTAGGAATGTTTTCCGGGCTTTGAAGCCGTGGTCTATGGGAATTTCTTCCTGACGTTTCGTCCACAACTGCGGTGGACATTATCAAAGGC